AAACATAGTACTACTAGAGATATTCTCCCCTTGGGTGCTTTATAAGCATTGTTAAACCACCCCCCTTCTCCCTTTGGACAGTTTTCCCTCCTATTTTACACACCAACAGAAATGTAGTCACCTTCTCCAAGACATCCCTACCACTTTCCCCATCTTGACTTGAGTTTCCAGTACGTTTTGCTTATCCTTCTTGTATGGGCTAGTCTAGCTTCTTGCTGTTGTGAACTGTGCTGCAGTGAACGTGGGAGAGCATATGTCTGTTCGTGTTCCATTTCTTATTTTGTTGTATTATATAACCCGCAAAGGTATTCCTGAGTTGTATGGTATTTCTAGCCCCAGTTGCTTTTAGGTAGCACCATATCACTTTCCACAATGGTTGTACATATTTACATGCCCACCAGCAATGTATGAATTCCACTCTTTCTATGCCCTCATGTGTCTTTGTTCTCTGTGTTTTGAATTGGACCATCATTGTGGGTATAAATTGATATCTCATCATTGTTTTCATCTGCATCTTTCTGAGGGCTAGTGATTGGGATTAATTCCTCTGGTGCTTGTTAGTCATTTGAATGTCGTGCTTTGTGAATTGTCTGTGTCCTTTGCCCACTTTTTAATTAGATTATTTGTGTTTTCCTTATTGAGATGTTGCAGAATTCTATAGATTTTAGTAATTAGGTCCTTGACCATTTTCTCATTGATCAATCAATGGGCTTCTGTTTTACGCTTTTGATGAGCTCCTTTGATGTTCATATTTTTGTGTTTTATTTTTAATAGGTCCCAATCATCTATTTTGTCTTTTTCACTGTATGCTTTCTTTATTATTTTGGTAATCCATGTATTCCCTTCAATAGGGCTGTTAAGTTAGTCCCAATTTTTTCATTGATGATCCTAAGTTTGGGTTTACATTATGTCTCATCTCAATCTTGAGTTCATTTTGATGCATTGGGTGTGGTTTGGGTCCTATTTTAATCTTCTGCAGATGGAGTTCCAATTTTTCCAGCACCATTTGTTGAAGAGGTGTCCCTGTCTGATTTAATGTTTTTGGGCACTCTCTTGAAAATAAATTCCTTGTAGGTGAATATTTCTGGATTTTCTATCCTGTTGAATTGGTCTATGTATTGGTCTATTCATTATTCCAGGCTATTTTGACTACTGTGACTGTAGTGGTTTTGAGGTCAAATAGTGGAAGGCCTTATATTTATTCTTTTTTGTTGTTGTTAAATAATCATTTTATTAGGGGCTCATATAACTCATCACAATCTGTACATCCATCATTTGTGTCCAGCACATTAGTACATATGTTGACTTCATCATTCTCACAACACCCACTTTCCACTTGAGCCCTTGGTGTCAGCTCATTTTTCCTCCTCCCTCCCCGCTCCCCCCCACTGAACCCTTGATAATTTATAAATTATTATTATTTTATCATATCTTACCCCATCCAACGTCTCCCTCACCCACTTCTCCGCTGTCCGTCCCCCAGGGAGGAGGCCATATGCAGACCTTGTCATCTGTTCCCCATTTCTCCCTCTCCTTCCCTCCACCCTCCCGCCATCGCCACTCTCTCCATTAGTCCTGGGGGGGGGGTGGTTCATCTGTCCTGGGTTCACTATATTTCCAGTTCCTATCTGTGCCAGTGTACATCCTCCAGTCCAGCCGGATATGTAAGGTAGAATTGGGATCATGGTAGTGCGGGGGGGGGCATTTAAGAACTAGAGGAAAATTTCATATTTCATCGTTACTACACTGCACTCTGATTTGCTCCTCTCCTCCCTGCAGCCCTTCTGCAAGGGGATGTTCAATAGTTCTTTCCTTATCCTGGGCTTCTTCTTGCTGCATACGAAGTTGATAATTAGTGTTTTCATTTCTTTAAAGAATGAAGGTGGAATTTGGATCAGAATGGTGTTGTATTTGTAAATTGCTTTAGGTAGTACTGTATTGATATTTTTCACAGTATTATTTTGCTGTCCATGGACCCAGGATGTTCTTCCATTTGTGTAAGTCTCTTAGTTTAGTGTTCTGCAATTTTCTTTGTGCAGATCTTATGGATTTTTTTGTTTAGGCTTATTCCTAAGTATTTCATCTTTTGTGTGGTTATTTTGAGGTTATTTTGTGTGGTTATTGTAATTTGTACTATTTCCTTGATGTGTGTTTTAGAACACTCTTCACTGGTATGTAGGAATCTGACTGGTTTCTGCTTGTTATTCTTGTATCCTGCTACTTTCCCAATTCATCAATTCTTTCTTACATTCTTTTTGTGGAGACCTCCGGAGTTCTCTCTGTATAAAATCATATCCTCTGCAAATAGAGTAAGTTTTACTCCTCTTTGCCCTTAAGCTGTTTTTCCTGTCTAGTTGTTCTGCCTAACTTCTAGCCTGAATTTGAATAGGAGTGGTGATAAGGGGGAGCAGCCTTGTCTAGTTCCACTTCCAGGGGAAATGTTTTCATTTTTCCCTCATGGATTGTGATATTGTTTGTTTGATTTTTTTTTATTTTCAAATCTTTAGCTACATTTGTTAAGAGAAAGAAAAAACCCCAAATATTTTTTAAAAATTTTAAAAATTCCTTTTAAATGTGTACATAATGTTATTAGTAACAAATATAAAGCATTTTTAAGATACTTGGTGACTTGTTATTTCAAAGGGGAATAAATACCTAGTGAAATTTTACAATTAAAATGATCTATTTGGTAATAACTATAGAAAGAGTTCTGCTAATAAAATAATTGGTTTGGGAAGAAGAGTTAAAAGTTTTCCAAAATGTCAGAAAAGATTTAAACACTATGTGTTTAAAATGTTAATACAGCAATATTAATTCAATACATAATTGAAGTGATACTGACTTTATTCCCTGTTTGGAGCTATTATATATATATATTTTGAAAACCCTTGCCTGTTGGATTTTCATATATGGCTTTTATTATGTTGAGGAATTTCCCTTCTATTTGCATTTTATTGAGTATATTTATTAGAAACTGTATTGGATATTGAATGCTTTTTCTGTGTCTATTATCATGTGATTCTTATTCTTTGTCTTGTTTATGTGGTAGATTGCATTGATTGTTTTTCAAATGTTGAACCATCCTTGCATGCCTAGTATGAATCTCAGTCAATCTTGATGAATTATTTTTTTGATATGTTGTTGGATTCAATTGGCCAGAATTTTGTTGAGAATTTTTGCATCCATGTTCATGATATTGGTCTGTAGTTTTCTTTCTTTGTGGGGTATTTGCCTAGTTTTGGTATCAGGTTTATACTTACTTCATAGAATGAGTTTGAGAGTTTGTTGTCCCATTGTATATCCTAGAATAGTCTGTATACAATTGGTGACAGCTCTTCCCTGAATGCTTGGTAGAATTCTCCTGTGAAACCATCTGGTCCTGGGTTTTCTTGGTTGAAAGTTTCTTGATGACCTTCCCTGTTTCTTCTTTTGGGGTCTGTTCAGGTTTTCTACATCCATTTGTAAATTTGGGTATCTACAGCATCTACATTTCATTTCTACAGCAAGTACAGATGTAATACACCTGGGTTATTTCTATACCAACAATAGTCTTAAGTATTCAAAGTTCAAAATTCAAAGCAGTTTACATCTGTAAAATTCTTAAAGGATATTGAAGTTACTACCTAAATGCAAAGCTAAGTCTCTTCATAATTAATAATTAGTATGTTTAAATTTTAAAAAATTATCAAGAGATTTATAAACCAAAAAATAAACTCACTACCATCAAGTCAGTGCCGACTTATAGCAGCCCTATAAGACAGGGAACTGCCCCTGTGAGTTTCTGAGACTAACTCTTTCTGAGAAAGTTCCGTCTTTCTCCTGCAGAGCGGCTTGGAGTTTTGAACTGAAAACCTTCCAGATTGCAGCCCAATGTGCAACCAGTATGCCACAGACTTCTTCAGTATAAGAACTAAAATCGTAACCCAAGGATTATAAATTCATGTGTACCTAAAAGCCAGATGAGTAACTTAAATTCATGTGGTAGGCTGGGTAGTAAAATCCCATAAACCCTTTGTGGAGAAACTTGCTGCTAAGTAAACTGCAGCTGATTATTACCATAGAGGAATGCAGGCCCAGTGTTAGCAGAACTTATTATTCAAGAAAATCTAGAAATTCAGATTTTTATGTGAAACCTCTAATTTTAGAATATAGGCATTCCCCAGGTTACACACATCCAACTTATGGACAACTCCTACATCCCCTTAATGTTACGTAAATCTAACCACATTTTGCAGTGATTGAACTCGCAACAAATTCTTCATCACAATCTCTTTACTTACTGCACGTACAACTTTTAAATCCTTGGAAAGTCTTTCAACCTTTTCTTGCACTAAAATAAGGCTAAATAAAAACTGTATGCACCTGTTCCAAAATATTTATAAATTGTTAAAGACACAGGTAGGAACCAATCTCTTGTCCTTTAGGAACTGCCTAGCAACACCAACTTGAATTTTAAAGCATTTTAAGCATTATAAGGAGCCTTGGTGGCAGTGTAGTGTGTTACGTATTGGGCTACTAACTGCAAGGTCAGCAATTTGAAATCACTAGTCGCTCTGAGGGAGAAAGATGAGACTTTCAATTCCTGTAAAGACATATAGCCTCAGAAACTCAGAGGGGCAGCTCTACCCCATCCTATAGGATTTCTATGAATCAGAATTGACTCTATAGTAGTAAGTATGGACCAAAACTGAGCCACATTTGCTCCTTCAGTTTGTTGTAACTTCTACTTAACCAATGTAAAGCTCTTCTTTAATCTATTAAATAATTTCAAGAAGGGGTGAATGGATCACCCCTTATAGCCCATGGCATTTGGAATTTGAAGTAAAGGGACCTTGCCAAGTATCTCTGGCATTTTCCTTTCAGCACCACCTATACATTACAGATCTTTAGGTAAGGAATAAAGCGGTTCTCTGACTCAATGTTTGAGGGCTCATACCTTTTTAAAAATTATTATTATTTTAATAGAAGAGTAGGAGTTTCTCAGGCTGTTTCTCTTTCAGAATGCTTCAGAGAAGTTCTGCAGATAGTGAAAGAGATGGAGGGCCCCAGTTTGCAGAAGTGTTTGTTATTGTGTGGTTTGGTGCCGTTACTATTACCCTCAACTCTAAACTTCTTGGAGGAAACATGTGAGTATCATTAAGTTAAATCTCTCTTTCCCTTGCCAGGTGGCATATCTTTTTAAGGGGAACAAGTTATTTAGACACTTAAAAAATGAAAAATCCAAATTGTAAACGTGACCAAAGATAAAAAAAGTATTTTTAAGACCACTGAACAGAGATGACTTAATTGTATTAAGTTATTGGCAGTTCTTTGATAAGTTTCGGTTGCTTTTTCTAGTCCCTGAAATTTCAGACAGACTCTTTTTGTCTAGAGCTTTCAACAGGTCCTCAAATAGTATTATCAGCTGGAAATGATTAAGAAGAACCATCTTAGCAATTTGGTGAGATGATAGAAGGAGATCTCCGGGAATTAGAGTAGATCTTCTGAGATCCTAAATGGATGACTTTTCAGGGAGCTTAAGAGTGAAAGTAGTATACAGAAAGAAAATTAAAGCATGCGCTTAATACAGGAGATTATCCTTATACAATTAATGGTAATATAGTGAGATAGTGTATTGTGCCAGTGTATTGGCCAATAAACACAAGTGGGATTAACTGAAGGGCGGAGAGATAAATGGCTCGGTGAGTCTCGCCTTTCTTGTCTCTCGCTCTTTGATCATCAGACCAGTGTGTGGCTGCCTTGCTTGTTCTGTGCCACAATTTACAGGCTACACTACCTGTGGGAAGCCTAGCCTATGAACTGTCACTGTAAATTGAGGTCTCTTTAAGACATCTCTGGAGCTGGGGACTGGCGGTTGGTGACCTGGCTGACAGTTGGTGACCTGCCTTGTGATTGGCTGCTGTGCTGAGATAGCCTAGCTCTCTCTATATAGAGGAAGACCTCGCAGCAGACTAGACTTGAAGGACTGCTAGTGTCTCACAACTCTCTGTCACGGGAGTGAGTTGCACTGAGCCATTTGTACTGCTTTATAATTTAACTGTTCATTTCTTGTTATATATCTAATTATATTTATAAATAAATATATTAAATTATCAGCAATTTGGTTTTATGTCTCTAGAGAACCCTGTCTAACACATATAGTCATGTATCTGGAAAGATGAAACCCTCTATGATGTATAGAAATTGATGTAATAACATATATCATGATATATTAGTTATATTTATGATCTTTATGACTATGTGGTATTTTTAGATCTTTTTTTCAGAGCCTCTGTGTCCTGGGTTACTGTATACTCCCTTTGACAGTGGGGATGCTAATTTGTCGGCTGGTACTTTTGGCTGAGCCAGGACCGGCAAACTTCATAGTTCGACTTTTTGTGGTGATTGTGATGTTTGCTTGGTCTATAGCAGGTAAGAATCTCAACAGTACTAGAGCTGACAATAATATAGGTTAGAGATGAAGACCAACTGAGAAGCATAGAGCTTCTAAGTTAGGTGTGAGTGATATGATTGCTGTGGATGAGAGGGTCATTCACAGGACCCTCTATTCTTAGTAAGATAATTTTTTTGTGGGTATTATCTCTGTTGGGTTCTGGGTTTTTAAGGCACTGAGATTTTAAAGATATATTTAAATTATTGAATAATGGACAGGATTGGGAAACAAGATTATGCAAAATTCAGCTTAACCTTGATCTATAAAGGAGCTTCAAAAAGTTTGTGGAAAAAATGGAATTGAAAGGTAATGGACTTCTTCCACACTTTTTAAAGTCCCCTTGTATTGGAGGGCTTACTAAATTACTTTGGCTTTTCAAAGATACCTAATCAATAAAAATCTAGCCAACATAAAGAAGAAAGGTTGCCATCCAGTCAGTTCTAACTCATAAAGAACCCATTGTTTCCATGGGATTTTCAATGGCTCGTTATTGAGAAATAGATCACCAGGCCTATCTTTTGAGGCCCTCTATCCATCTCTAACCTCCAGCCTTTCAGTTAACAGCATTAACTGTTTGCACTACTCAGGGACTTGGGCTAACATTTTCTGATCACTTTGTTCTTTTATTGTTCTAAGTGGTTGGTGTGTTATCTCATTTAATCTTTAGAACAACCCCATGAGATAAATACTATTGTTAGTTTGATTTTAGCGATAAGAAACAGTCAAGAGAGAAGTTAAATAACCCACCTAGGACACATAACTCAAATTCCAAACCCAAGCAGATCACTTACCCTTAAGAATTATTTTAACCTATAGATGTAGTATAATGAACCTATATGATGAACCTATAGGGACAACAAGTAGAATAAGGGTTTCAGGAAGTGGACGGTACAGGAGTGGGTGCTGGGGGCAGTAAAGGCACAATGTCAAGGAGTCCAGGAAGAAAAAGAATGTTTGGAAACGGATTGTGGTAGCAGTTGTCTAATTCTGCTTGATGTGATTGAACTATCGAGTGATATTATATATGTATTAGCTCCCAAATAATAATAAATAATTTTAAAAAAAGAATTAAACTACACCTTAGCTTCCAGCATAAGTCGTGTCACTATGTTGTGCTTTTCGGCTTCAATGGAAAATTTTTCTAAAAATTAGGAATTGTCGCTAGCATGTGGCCCTATGTGGTGCAGATAAGTGGTCACTAGCTTCTGACAGACTGCATAATATTTTAAAGTACAGTAACATTTCATTGCTTTGGAACATGGTTTAAAGTAATTAAAAATATGATCTATGAGAGCCAGAATTATGTTCCAAAGGCTGCATATTTTGCTTGAGTATGTTATCCATGGAGAGCCCTCTAATTTCCTCACTTAGACTCTGATAATTTGCCATACATGTAGTTGTTACTAGCTTATTTATCCGGTACTTATACCCATAGTGGATCAGAAAGTGGCATCTAAGAAGTAGGGGTAGAGGCTGTTAATAAGAATTCATTCTTTAATTCAGCGTATATTTATTAAACATAAGCTATAAGTTAGGTACTGTGCTACGTAATGGGCATGCACATAGTCTATGTACTTGGAGTTCATAATAAAATGAAACAGCCTTAAGTACATAAGCACTTATTGGCGATGATGGTCCAGGTAGAAGATGTAAGTCTGCAATGAACAATTGGGACACAGAAGAAGGTAGTGAGTGAGCAATTATACTTGGGGTGGCGGAACACCAGGTGGTTGACTCAGGAAATATTTTCTATAGAGTGGATACTTGATGAGTGAATATTTTCTGGATCAATAAGAGGGCTGGCATTTAAAAGAGCTGATAATAAGAGTAACATTTATAAAGCATAGCAGTATAAGACTGTTTGCCACAGGTCAAATAACCTTACACATCTTTATAAGTATATTTGAGCTCATTGTCTTTTTTATTAAAAGTTAGAAAACTGTGATGAATCAAAATATATTGCTACTAGGGTTGTAGTTCATATATACCTGGGTTCAGTTTAAATGAAATGTCTTTAAGCATGTCTTTGCAATCAGTGCATGGCTGTTGATCAGTTCTCCCAGGATTAGATTTGTTTTAATCTCATTAGTGTGCTTTCCTCCCAAAAGATACTTTTTGTGCCAAGTATAAAAATGATTTTGAGATCAGTCCTAATATCAGTTTTTTTTTTAAAGTTGAAGTAGACATCATTCCAAATCATTGAAAACAAAGTAGAAAACATTAAAAACATTGGATCAAGAGGGAGATCATATAAAAGTCAGTAATCCATGTATTGTGATTTGTAGGCAGCCTACACATGTTTAATTTTCTTTTCTCAATTGTACTTTAAATGCATTACCATGGGCAAAATCAATGATAATATGAAGGACCTTATGCTCCAGAGAGATGATTGGTAATGTAACATAAAATAACAAAAAATGTCTCTAAGGTGAACCAGAGGCATATATAAAACCTAGATATAGGAATGGATTTGGGGCTCACACTTAATCCTAGTTTCAGTCTAAGAACAGTTTGTTCTTATGACATGGCCCTTCTCGATACTCACCCTCGTGAAGAGAGCTCGGAAGATATGGGTGCTACAGAAACTAGAATGTATCTATCAGAAAGAATAGCATCTGAGGTCTTAAAGGCTTGTTTTCAAAAAGCAACCATCTAAGTGAAACATCAACTAAGCCCACATGGAAAAATCACACCAACATGCATGATCCAATGATTGTAAATAATATCCAAGTCCAAAGGAGGGAATGGCATCAGAATTGTGAAATTCTGGTTTGCAGAAGGCTATGGATGATAGTGGAAGCCCCAAATACATTTGGAGGATCTACAGCCTTGCTATTATACAGAATGCACTGAAAAGTGGATTTTGACAGATGTGACTAGGTTAAATCCAGTACCTTACCATTTGATCTCCCTTTTGAAACATTTTGAATTTGCTCTAATTTTTAATATTTTCTGTTTTCATTCACTGGGTTTATCTCTTGTATTTTGTTATATTTGGTAGCCTTCTTGACTCTTTTTAATGTATTTTTTATATTTTTTGGTATATGAAACCCTGGATGAATGAATATATAAAAACAACTGGATTAAGGGTTCTTGCGATGTGTGGCAGGGAGAGGTTGGGGGAAAATAGCTATTAACAAGGAGTACAAGAAGAAAGAACATCCTCTAAAACTGATTGTGGTAGCAATTGTACAACATTTCTTGATATGACTGAACTATTGAATTGTATGCTGTCTGGATTGTGTTCTAATAAAATGGTGTGTGTATACATATATATAATATATATTTTTGTGTATATATATAAAGTCTATATATGTGTGTGTGTATGTATGTATACATATATATACCGAGAGAAAGAGAGATATATCAAATGACAAGAGTCACATTTTGACCAAATTACAACTTCAGTAATCCACCTATAATATACTCTGTATGATTAAAAATAACTCTGTCAAGCACTTTTAGTTAGTAAGTGTGAATAATTATGACAATGTATTTTATTAAATATTCTTGTTTTGTTTTTTTGTTTAGCCTCTACAGCTTTTCTTGCTGATAGCCAGCCTCCAAACCGCAAAGCCCTTGCTGTGTATCCTGTTTTCTTGTTTTATTTTGTCATCAGTTGGATGATTCTCACCTTTACTCCTCAGTAAATCAAGAAATGGAAATTAAAGACCAGCAAATTAAACATTCATTGGAATGATACAGGTCACTATGGAATTTGCCTCTGGCCCTCATTTGTCTAACTTTGGAGATATTGGTACCTTAGTAGGTGAGGAGATTAAAAGGGAGCTGCCATATAGCACCATTGCCACTTACATAAGGAAATGATGTTTAAAAGGCTATAATTTTCCATGTAAATGTTATTTCTTTAGAATACATGTGCAAAGTATAGGCACAATATAATGCCTCCTTGATGGAATAACTGGTCCATTTGAGTGACATCCAATAACTCAAAATGCACATAGATACACCCTGGAAGTTGAATAGAGTTGGAAACTGTATTTCCGTGAGAATAATGATTCAGGTGCAACTCTTAATCATATTGCCTTATGACTATTTAAATATGCCTCTTTGTAAATAAGAATGTATAGTCTGTAATCATGTCCATTTATTTCTGTCACTTAAAAGTAAACAAGGCAATAGCAGAAATTGCAAGGAAATTTCTTAGATATGTGGAGAGGGAAAGAATATGTATTAACCTAGATTCAGGATTTAATCAAAGAAAATTCAGTACTTTCTGCTTTCAGAAAAGTGAAGGATCTCTAAATAATCAACTTGTTTGGTTTCTTTGTATAGTCACTTTTCTGCCAAACTTAATAGCACATAGGTGGCACTCTAGTTTTTTATCTTACTTCCTATTGCTAAATATGCAAGCTGAGATATATGCAGTAAACATGTAACTTTACTTTGACTTAGATTCTCAATTGACTAATGCTTGAATTTACACAAGTACAAGATCATATACATTTAGAATGATAGGTCTCTAATGTGTATCATCATATGGAAACCTCTTATGGGTGAAGAGACACAGTTTGGATATAACAAAGCCTATACGGTTTTCTTTGTTATTCTGTGTAGTCTGTCCTCTAACTAGAAAATAAAGTGAAATAAGCCTGCATTTAACCATTGAACGTGGATGTATTGTGGCTGATTAACACCACAGCTTGATGCTTAGAGTAGGTTGAGTTGGGTGTATATCTGCTGGCTTTTCTTAGTGGGCCTATTTGTTAAGCTTGTTACCTTTCCTTTATATAAATATAAATACTCTGCGCAAGTATGCATCCATCTACTCAACTACTTATGTACACAAGTATGCAGGCTTTTCAGGGAACTGAGGGTCTAGGACAAGCTGCTGCCTTCTGTAAATTTCACAAGGAAGGACTCTGAAGAAGGATTCATGCCGATAACAAACACTGTAAATGGACAATTACTTATAAATACAGAGATTTCTTATTTCACATTTTTCTTTAGGATATTTATTTTGTATTTCAAGACTACCTACACATAGGTAATTTTAACAACTTGTTTTCTCTATCCAAATGAACCAAGTGAACACTACTAGGACAACTGGGTCATTGGAATGATGTCCAGTAAAGGCACTGCAAAGTAGGTCCCACCTTTCTTAAGCCTTGTCCAGAATTGTTGTTTATACATTTATATTTATTTTCTTTCATCCTGTAAATTTGTAAATGAGCAAGTGTCTCAGTCTTGAATTAATAAAGAAAATATTTTCAAACTAGTTTTAAGTTTTAAATGAATCCTAAATTATCCATTTCCATTTTCTAAATTCCCCCTAAAAATATCACCTTTTCAACATCTTTTTTATCTATTCCAATGATTATAATGCAAGATATAGAATAATTTATTAATCATTGCTTAAGGAGCCTAGTTTTGCTAACTGCAAGGTTGGTAATTCAATTCAATACACCTCTGTGAGAGGAAGATGAGATTTTCTGCTCTCATAAAGATTTACAGTCTCAGAAAGCCTACATAGGGTTGATATGAGTCAGAATTGATTTGATGGCAGTGGGTTTTCCAGATCTTTTCTTTCTCAAAGGGAATGAAATCTGAACTGAATTTTACTCAGGTTGTATATTGGGTCATATAATTCTAAAGCTATGACTTTTGGGGTGGATTTGTGATGGTGTCCCTAGGTGTGTGCCTGTGTGTGTTTAACACTTAATGAATATTAAGGCAATTTTTGTTATTGTGTAGTATTTGGTCCTTCTTGGGTGGCTTAGAAAGTTGGTTCTATTTGATTTAAATGAAAGTCGAAAAAATAAAATTTTATTTTTTTCTAAAAGTGGGTTGTCAGTTTGAAAATATTAATAAATATTTTCTTAAAATATACATAAATGTGTGTTGCTTTCTGTGACAGAAGTTAAGACCTGAATGTTTGGTAAACCTCAAGACAGTTCTTCTTTTAAAGGCACACAGCTGATTTCAGAAATGAGGTCTTGCTCCAGAAAAGGAAACCCTAATACAGGAATTTGGAATTTACATACTTCAGATGAAATTCAAATTTAGGAGCATCATTACTTTCTTTATTCACAATTGATTTAATTCTATATATAGAAAATCCCAACTATTCAGTTAAACAATTGCTCAAACTAATGGAAAAATTTGGCAGTGTAGCAGGCTGCAAGAGAAACATAGAAATCAGTTGAATTCTAGTATGTTAAAAGAACAATATCAATTACAGTAAATACACAAAAGATAAAGTATTTAGGAATAAATCTTACCAGTGAAACAAAAGACATACAAGGAAAACTACAAAATACTCCCTCAAGACACTTAGGAAAATGGAGCATTACCATATTTCTGGATAGGCAGACTAAATATTGTGAAAATGTCAGTATTACCAAAAGTACTTAAAAAAATGAGTTGGGATTTAAATATACGAGGGGGTACCCCCAAAAAAACAGATTTTCCCCCTAAGCTATGTATTTAATTTTTTTACAAAACAACTTTATTACCTTCAAAATACTCTCCATTACACATTTGTCAAATCTGCTATTCCATTCTTGGAAACATTTTTCAAATGTTTGGATGGCTAACCGCACCTCCCTCTCTTTTTAACTCGCCTCTTCTACATTGCCAAATTGCTGTTCTTTCTTACCCATCTTTATTTGTGGAAACAAAAAGAAGTCACACAGAGTGAGGTCAGGTGAGTAAGGTGTGTGGGGCAAGAGAAGCATGCTGGGTTTTGCCAGAAACTGGCATACTGAGATGGCTGTGTGAGAGGGTACGTTGCTGTGTTGCCACAAATGAGGCCTTTTTTGCACACTGTTATGGAATCTTTTCAGAACCTCTAAACAGCTTGATTAACAGTCTGATCTCCCCATCACATTCAGAGAACAAACGAGCATTGTCTTGATCTTTGATTTCACTTGAGCTTTTTTTGGGCGAGGTGACAATGATGTCTTCAACTGGCTTGATTGCTTTGAGGGTCGTAAGAATAGCACCATGTCTCATCACAGTAATAACCTTGGAAAAAGTCTAGGTCACTTTGAAGCCGTTCTTTCAAAGCACTGCACGTTTTCACCCAATGCTTTTTTTCTCTGATCAGTCATAACCCTAGGCACAAATTTCACAGGGACCCTTCTCATTCCCAAATCTTCCATTAAAATTTGCTGAAGATAGTCCAGATAATTTCCCCATGTCTTCAATGGCCCATTGTCGGTCTTTGAGCACAAGTGCACAAATTTTGTTACATGTTCATCCATTAGGGACATTAATGAATGTCCAGAACACGGTTTGTCATCAATCAACATTTCACCTTTTTTGAAACAAAACCACTGTTACACTTGAGTTTTTCCCATAGCGCTGCCCTTGTAAGCTGTGTTCAACATCACAACAGTTCTGGCTGCATTTTTCCTGAGCAGGAAACAAAATTTCACAGCTACATGCTGTTCTCTTAAAATAGCCATCACAAAATACGAGGTTTGAGTGAAACTGCTTTTATGAAAAAATTCATTGTGACCAGAGAGAACATGCCCAGGTGGTGCTTGATGCTCAGTCACTCAGCAAACAGCATTCCCCCTCCCCCGACCATTTCATCCTAGATGTAAGGTACCCTCTGGCTAAGTGATCTACACTATACTTACCTGAAGCAGATGATGTGTGGTTTATGGCACTGGTCTGGCTCTTTACCAGGTTATCTGATCCCCAGCCAGAAGACTTGCTGCCCTACAATCATGAACATGTGCCTGCTTTGCTGCTTGTTCCTACCGCAGTGGACTCATACAGTATTTGTCCTTTTGTGCTTGACTATGTACTCAGCATAAGATGATGAACATGGGGGAGCAAACTTCTGTTCATTTTCTGTTTCTTATTTTGGTATATGCCTAGTAATGGTATTAAGAAACTTTGGTACATACACACAGGTGAGTACTATGCATTATTAAAAAAAACATGGATGAAAACATTTTGCTGAGTGAAGTTAGTCACAAAAGTACAAATATTGCATGAGGCCATTACTTCAAGGACCGACATCAAGACAAAAGTATCTGTTCTCAGGACATGTGATTATTTAACGTGGTCTCCCAAATGATGTGGTGGTGTGTCTTATCTAATGCTTATGATCCATTTATCACTCCCCCTTCTTTTTTGGTGGGGTTTATTTTTTACATGTGAGAATTGTTTTTCCCCCAATAGTTTAATTGATATGATTCACATGTCATATATTTCCATAGTTCAGTTATGTTTAGAAAGAGTTGTATATGCATGAGCACATTCAATTCTAGTGCTTCCCCCACAACCTCATTATTTGTACCTCAATTCCCCTAAACCTTACACACATACCCAGTAAACCATTAAGCTACTACATCAGTTATTGTCTCTACATCCGTCCCTTCTCTGCTTAATAAACTGGGAAACAATCAAAATGCATCAACAGTATATATTAAAAAGACTACCAACGATATTAAAATATGCCAGAGAAAACTTGGGGACCACATGGCCAGCCCTACCATGAGACATGATGATCCTCACTGACCCATGGCCCTG